GAACGTCGGTCCCTTTGATAGCTATCACAGTCTGCTGTCGTCAATTTGAATTTCTACCCAGAACCTGTCATCGCTTCGTCGATTGGGATGACGTTCATTCCTTGACCAGGGAAAAACGCATCAATCGCAGCTTGTTGATCTCCTACAGTAGTAAAGTAGGCCGCGAGTGCCATCATGCCGTAGTCTGTGACATGCAGCCCATGGAAATATTGATCACAGATAGCGTAGCGAGCCAGATGCTGTTCATGCCCTTCGCTGAGCGAATCGTCACGGGCAAAGTTAGAACTCATCACAGCATGGTCAACAGTGACTTGGGTATGATCCAGTGACTGATGAACAGAGATGAACGGCATATGAGGGTATAGCCCTTTATCGTCTTGGACACATGCAAGCACTCCTAGTCCAAGACGGACTGCCAAGAATAGGCACAGTAGACCGAGGAAGACTCTCAGGACGAGAACACTCCAGGCACGCTCCACTCCATGGATCTTTCTCTTCGATTTCCCACCAGTGCGCGGAGCCGTTATCAACGGTATAGACGCTCGTTTGATAAGCTGACGTATAAGGTGGGCCCAAACAACGAGCCGAGCCCCGCCGGCCGACACTTGTGCTATCTCGCAGATTATTCCTGATACCAGATATGACAGGAAGGCAGCCGACGCAAACCTGTAGAACTCTACGTATCTCAGTGAGATATAAGCGTAAGTACACCACCAGACTAGGACCAGGAGTGCAGGGTAGATTAATGTAAGGACTATGAGATCGTTCTGAGCATAGGTAAATCCCATATCGGGGCTGGCAAAGCCACGGAAGAAGAGCAGCAACATGGGCACAAGAAACATACACTTGAATTGTATAGTGTTCTCGAGCCACATAGAGTCATCATAGAAAGCATCTTTTTGCCAGTCTGAAAGATTGATCTCTTTAACGACTATATGAGAGGCGTAAAGTAGCTGTAGCATCCACAGTAGTATCAGGATGCCGTCCATGGTCGAAGCCGATACGCCTTCATTGACCAGTTGGGGTACAATAAAGTTATAAACAGAAGTCCTTCCAGCAGCATCGAGGCCGAAGAGGGGGTAGAGTGACCATTGCAGCAATCGTATGACCGACACTGGACCAAGGATGCAGTAGCCAGCCCACATGATCAACGTGGATCTCCAACTCTTAGCTGCACCAACACCAGCGGCCCGGTACCAACGGGGGAATATAAACTGGAATTGTTGAGTCCAT